AAATGTGCCGAAGGCCCCCATATTTCAGCAAGTCTCCACCAGCGCCGAGGTCCCACTAGCAAAAAGGATAGGATCGAGCTCCTGAATCTGGATGTGTTTTATGCAGAAATGCAGAAAAGCAGTTCAATCTCGATTTCCTGCACATCTCCATAACCTCGTCCAGATTCACACATTCGATCCGATCCTCTTTGCTAGTGGGACCACGCCCCAGGGCAAGAGCGGGACTTACTAAATGCGGTTGACGTACCCGAATTATGAGACCCTTTTTTTTTTTTTTTTTTTTTTCAGAAAAGGTCATGCCTTTATTGCTCATGAAAAATTATTGAGGCCGGGTCCTCACATTATCCCGGAAACAACAAAATCACAAATCCTCAACACCCGAAGGAAAAAAGGAGATCTCTGTCCACTTGGAACAGAGAGAAAACACGTACCTATAAAACAAAACAAAAAACCTACAGCAAACCTAAAAGAGAAAACCAAATAATGGTCTGTCCTCTTTGGACCAAAGAAAAAACACCAATCCTTTGCAGAAACAATAGGAAAGAAGGGAGGAGAAAAGAACAAGGCAAACAAGACAAACTAACCAACCAATTACTGGTGGCCTGAGCTATCAAGTCCTAGTTAGGGTCCTACTCAGGACCGGAGGTGATCAGAGGCATAATACTGCCTCTACAAAATTATAAGACCCTATTAAATTGCCGAACCACTTATTGTTTTTGCACCACCCAATAAAAATGAAATTACACGAACTGCTCCCTGCCAGGCCGGGACATCCAACCCCATCGGATCATAAGCCCCTAATTAGTACCCATATAATCTCAGGGGGCAGGGCTTATACTGCAGTAACTGCAGGTTTAAAACACCAGCCAACTCCGTGCCAGCAGCCGCGATAAGACGTGCAATTCAGGAAACTATGACGTCATATATTTCTACGCTAGGGTCAAATCTGTCGAACGCTAGGTCACTGTTGATTTCGCTGTAGAAAACTATTGAGGTCATATATTTCTAGTCTAGGGTCAAATTTGTCCCAATAACTGAACCCTAGGTCACAGTTGAATTTGCAGCAGAAATATGTTTTGTCGTTTCTGGACCTGGTTTCTAACCTAGGGTCAAATTTGTCGTTTCCGGACTAGGGTCACAACAGGTCGTTTCTGGCCTAGGGTCAAATTTGTCGTCGATTCTGGTCTAGGGTGAAATTTGTCCCAATTAAGTCAACGCTCGAATGTATTCGCAGTGGACCAACTTCCTACTAGTTTCTTTTTTTTTCTTTTTCTTTGTACTATTTCTTCTCTCAACTTCTGTTTTCGCCTTTCACTACCTACTCCTAAGGCTATCTAGAGGGGACCCCTGCAAGCATAGTTTCCTCTCACTGTGAAGGGGAGCTTTTATTGTTGCCCCTTGCCACTAATGTTTAGGGTATAGGGTTGGGGCCGCCAGTGGGGGTCTGGCTAACACAAAGACCGAGACCTGCCAGTAGCTGCGCCTCCCTTTTTCATCGCCCCCCACCCCTCATCGAGTAGCAGCAGTGGCTATGGCCAACACTCTCCCACACACCACACACAACCCACTCGCGCTCGCACTCACACCCATGTACAGTCAAATTGATCCCAAAAATTCAATTTCCCACGCTCGGCTACGGTTCAATTCTTCAATCCTGCGGTAATTGCAGAAATAGCGCGTTTTGGAAGTTTCCCAGCGTCAATGCTGTCGGAGTCCGAAACATGTAGTATTTTTTTTTTTGCAAAAAAGTGGGATCCCACCCGCAAATATTTTTAAGAGAAAACTGCGGCACAGTCAGGGCTTGAGTTTGTAAACTGTTTTCGTGACTGCGCCGAAGTTACCCCTATTTTTAAATTTCCTGTGGAACTACCGGGACCTGTAAGCTGCAACGAAAGAGCCTGATGTCTCTTGGCAACGAAGGGTGGGCCCCACCACTATTTTTGCTTGCTGCTAAACTACAGCGACGTCACGGTGATACCCAAAAAAAGATCACCGCCACAGTACCCCCACGAACAGCTGAACTACACAACTGCGTTGGAATCCAGATGAACTTACATCAACGAAATAACGACGACTCTAAGGTCTCGCTCCACACCTCGCGCCAGTAACTCACGACACGCACAAAGGAAAAATAATATGGCGGTGTACCTAAGAATATATGTCGGTGCGTCTTTCCACGTTCTAACGGAAGATTCATTTTCACTGTGCACATTTAATGTAAAACGCACGCGATGGCCAACTACAGCTCTTAATGAGGAGAGCAATTAGCACAGTCAAAGATATGACCGAAGTCAACACCCAAATACAGCTCTTAATGAGGAAAAGCGATTAGCACAGTCAAAGATATGACCTAAGTCAACCCCTTCCACGAAAGAGAATGGTCAACGTTTTCGAGACATCCATTAAAATTGGAAGGATACAGGGAAGATTAACCCGCGTGGTCCCTGCGCAAGGACGACACGTAGGAATCGAGAAATCGTCCCCAAAAAAATAAAAATAAAAAAAAATCGTCAATTACTCGAGAAAAGAAGGGAAAAGAAGAAGAATTTACGTTAGTAGAATGGCTGCGTCCTTCGGTATATCCATTACAAAGATTGGAACGATACAGAGAAGAAGAGATTAATACCCCCGCACAATCGACGGACAGTACAGAGCTACAAAAAAAAAAAAAAAAAAAAAGAAGAAGGCCAATACAAAGAGCGACAAATGACAGAAGAGAACTCCTTCCCCCCTCCACCCACCCAAATAAATTAAAAAAAAAAAAAAAACAACAACGAGAACTCACCTCTCACTCGAGACTCGAGAAGCACCACCTTCTTGCCATAGCGTTGGAGGTAATAGGCAACGCTGAGACCGTTGATTCCCGCCCCAACGACGCACACGTCAGCCGTTACGTTCTCCTTCAGAGGTGGATACCTCACTACCAAGTTCTGCTGGTCCCAAACTGTGTGGCGTAGGCCGGGCAGACTTTCCCCTACCAAAGGGACTGGACCTGACAGAACCGATCCTCCAGCTTCGGCAGCAGCAGACGCAGGAGTGAGAGCACTTGGCCTCCCGGCAGCTGCGTCAAGAATGGGAGTAGGGCTGGTCTCGCGCTCCCACACCTCCTCCTCCTCTGAGACCTCCTCTTCAGCGGACGAGCCGGTCTCCTGCTGCTCCTCCTCCTCCTCCTCCCCGCCGCCTCCGGTCGGCGCCTGCTCACTCACCACCTTCACCACAGGCTCGGCGCGCTGCGGGCGCCCCTCTTCCTTGCTCATACCCCCTCCAGCTTCTGCCACCCCCTTTATAGGCGGTGGCACGTCAGCTGGCTGTTGCCCTTCCGATGCTCTCACGGACTCAGCTACCGCCGCCAGCTCTTCAGGCAACCGCCCTTCCTCCAGAGCTCGCATCTCCTCCTCCCCCAGCCGGGGGCGCTGTGTCTGCATCCTGACCGCCGACGAGTACTCTCTCCCTGACAGTTTCCCGCGCTCTACCAAACTTTCCCGCCAAAACCTCGCTCCTCCCGCCGCCGCCAAACTCCTCCTCCCGCCCTTTCCTCCCTCTCCGGGCCAAGTTGGCCAACAAGTGACGTCGGCACAGCTCGCGCTAGGTGAGCTAGGTCTTCCTCCCTCGCCACCGGCGATTGCGACCAGCGACTTCGCGATTCTGTTGACTACCTCACCTCTCGTTGACTGCAAACGGACTCCGCGCTGGTCAACGCAGATTGCCCACGACCAGATTTTGCCGCGGCGATTACCGCAGTTCCGTCTGGAGTCAAACTCAGGTGTGCTATGACCCCTGGAAACTACCGGTTGAACAGAAAGCCGCAGTTCCGAGATTCGTTGTAAGGTCACCTGTCTGACAAGTGGCGGCACACAATGCGCGATTTCAGTCGCCGCTGCGGAGCTCACCAAGGGTAAAAAACATCTGCCATTGACAAACGAAAAGACAGACGAAGCAAAAAAAAAAAAAAAAAAAAAAAAAAACACGAAAAAGATTAGAAACAGCGGCCAGTCTCCACTTGCTACGCTTGAGGCTGGCCAACCTCTGGCAGAGGTTCATGAAATAGACGCCCACACACACACACACACACACACACACATAATCACACACACGTACACTAGCACACACACAAAAGAAAAAACGAAACACACACACATAATCACACACACACAAGCACATAGTACACTAGCACACGCACAAGCACATAGAACACTAGCACACACAAAATATCAGAACGAAAATAACAGGAATTACCGCCAACTGCGAAGCCACAGCATGGCAACGAACAGGAATTATCGCCAACTGCGAAGCCACAGCATGGCGACGAAGAGGGGAGAATGAGACGGCGGCTCCCAAGAGAATGGTCAGTAACCCACATACCAAGCACTGAAGGAGACCAAAACGAGCAAAGAACAGAGAGACAACTGCGCCTAAGGCTTGGGCGAGAGAGAGAGAGAGAGAGAGAGACAGAGAGAGACCTCTTGGTGTGTTGTGTCCACGATGTTCAAACTACTCGTTCCGAGTCGTTCGCCGGGCAACACCAATCTTAGTCAAAGGACAATCACCACCTGCGACATCACGGGCGACAGCAAGGTCGGCATTGAGAAATGGAGATCCCTAGACCTCATACTCTCGTCCCAGCACACTCGTACCTACCAAATGACCGACTCGCCATCCACGCTCGTCGCTCACCCATCGATCTAACCCGTCGCCCCGCCAACCCGCCCCGTCCGGGACCACCGATCACAGACGCGGCAATGCTCGTCTCGCAAGCACCTACCGCTATGATATTCCCACTCCAAGCAGGATCACATTAATCTGACCGGTTTGTACACTATATATAAAGGACCATCTCAATATGTCGTCTATCATGCCCATCCTACCTGACAGTACAACACGCAGATCCCGACGCGGAGTCTCAGGCCAAAATCACATTGACAGTATCGACAATTGTAACTGCACCTGGTCCCTTTCGTCTGATAAATTCCAGCGACAATTGTCTGCATGATTGCATCCGGTCCGTCCATCGCACAAATCCCATCGGTAGAACCTTAGTCTGCGGATGCCTCTTGCCTGAGGCATTTTGCTATATTCTTCTCTCAATTTCACCATTCACTAGCGACCTACTCCTAAGCCTATACCGGGGCCAAGTCCCACCAGCAGCGTTGAGCTGCCTCAACGCCTGAATCTGGACGTGTTTGTGGAGACGTGCAGTTCAGGAAACTCAACACCATTTCTGCACATCTCCGTAAAAGCGTCCAGATTCAGGCGTTGAGGTAACTCAACGCTGCTGGTGGGACTTGGCCCCCAGAGACCCCTACATCCCCTGAGGCTTTTTTTCTTCTTTTTTTTTTTTTTAACTGCGGTATATTCTTCGCTCAAATCTTTCATCATATTTCAAATTCTTTCAATTCACCTTCACTACCTACCTACCACTACTCCTAAGGGTTATACAGGGGAACCCTGCGAACATAGCTTTGTTGTCTCCCAGACTCTCCCTCCAGCCATCAGAGGGGACGCATGTTGCACCCCGCCCCAACCATGGTGATCAAGGATGGGTTGGGGCCCGCCCGTGGGGGTCCGGCTAACCCAAAGACCGAGCATTTTGCCAAATAGAGGCGCCTCCCTTTACATTGCCCCCCACCCCCAACCCAATTAACAGCAGTGTCTAAGGCCAACACTCTCCCACACACCACACACAACCCATTCACACTCACACTCACACCCGTGTTGGCCAAGGACCCTGCTAATACCGACTACCGCTGGTTGGAAGTAAATGCGCCGCAGGCGGCTGTTGGGCTCGAACGCACGACCTCCTGAATGCCACTTGTGTGCTCAACCAACTGAGCTAGGCCGCAGAGGGATTTTGTTTTGTTTTTTTAATATAAACTTTATGGCTAATTCCGTAAACCACCAGACTGACCAGTACTTCCTAGAGTGGTGCCCCGCGCCACGATTTTAGGAAACGTATGGGCTACTACAGGAGCACCCAACTTCATCCGACTGGAAACGTTTCTACTCCAATTTTTTTCTGTGGCCGATAGCTGGGCCAAGTACTGGTGGTTTAAGCCCAACCAATTCAATTACCTGTCGTCGCTGTCGAATCTAGACAGGACGGCCTTTCAGGCCTTTTTTTATTGTCATTATAGCAGTACGGGGGACCCCGTAGCAGCCACATCTGTGCTCAAGCCTCCAACGAGGGAACATGCGGGAACTGCACCCACGATTGGTGCAATACCTGGCATTACCTGCTACGGCAGGTGGGCCATACCGGCGAGGGGTCATCCGGTAGCATCAGGAACAAGATTCTTTGATGGGCCAGTCACTGTGCCTCCCCTCCCGTTGTTACGAACTGTTTTCTCCGACCGCGCATTTTTCTGCGCAAGGCTATTTCGGGGGATGAAATTGGTTGAGTCGGGATGGCCTGGTAAATTGCATGGATGCCCCTGCTTTTCTTGTCTCTTTCGAAGAAGGCTGGTCTGGTCCCGCAACGGTTGATAGTTGATCGCGCCTCAGAGAGCGCGACGAATAACTGTTGCCATAGCTTCTTTCTTGTTCTGCTGTGAAATGGTAATTTTTGCGCAATTGCCGCGCGGGAAAGTCTTTTTGAATTTTCAGCTGATGTCAAGCCCCCGCGGGCTCTCGGAAATTGCTTCGTTCGGATTTTCTTTTTGCAATTAGGATTTAGATTAGGAATTTGGGCGCGCCTCAATTTCTGCTGCGCGGCGCTTCCTGCCTACGCATGCTTGGCCGCATCAGGATCTCTGTTCTGACTTTTCCGCGCCTTAATCTCGCGTGTAACTATAATCTTTGTTTTGGCGGGCGTGATTGCAACTGTAATCCTCTCGTTCTTGACATCTTTTGTGGCGCCCCTGCGCGCGCGTACTTCTCCCCCGTCCTATTGGCCTGAACGCTTGTATGACTGGATCGATGTGTGGAGTGTGGCTACGTCCCCCACGCCACGGCCTGACCGTGCAGACATAGGCACTTCCTTCCTTCTTCTTCCTCCCACCTGAACACAATCCCGAGTATCTTGCGCAATGCATGCATGCTATAATTTTGCAAGCGTGATTAATTCGCTCTCTAAGAATTACGGAGTTAGCTCGGTCGAGAGGATCGGTTAACGAGCAAGACTTGGAAGGTGAGTAAAGAGTTGGGCGATCCGACGAGCTGGTGCTGGGCGTGCGGGGTTGACGTGGGGCCGCGACGGACTGTGGCCTATGAATCCCCCGCGGTCATGACCACGGGATAAATCTCGGCCCGCGGTCTGGATCCCGATTGCCGAGGTCGGCTGTGGGTGAGGGCCGCGGTTCCGATTTTGGAA